GAAATTTTATTCATTCAGCTTTCAGATGATGTATAAATCTCAATTTCGAAAAATTGACACTTAAGACTGGTTTTGTGGTCCAGGGTCACAAATGTTCTTCACACTAAGAAAAAAGTGGTTCTTTTAAGAACAGTTTACTGAAAGGTTCTTTGGGGACCCCAAAATGGTTCTTCTAAATTTAATCATTATGAAAATTTTGCAATTTCCTTTGCACTAAAATGGTCAGAAAATATACTTTCTCAGACAGAATGAATGAATTAGCAACATTACATGAGGTTATGAATAATTTGTGACTAATATTTAGTACTTTTTAAGCAAGCAAATTAAATATACACTACTCTTCAAAAGGTTGGGGTCAGTAAGATTTTTTTAAAAGTTAATACTTTTATTCAGGATACATTTATCAAATGATCAAAAGTGACAGTAAATGCTTTTACATTGTTACAAAAAAATCTATTTAAAATAAATGCTGTTCTTTTAACTTTCCATTCATCAAAGAATCCTAAAATAATATGGATCATGTTTGCCCAAAAATATTAAGCAGCACAACTGTTTTCAACATTTATATTAATAAGAAATGTTCTTGAGCAGCGAATCAGCATATATGAATGATTTCTGAAGTATCATGTGACACTGAAGACTGGAGTAATGGCTGCTGAAAATTCAGCTTTGCATTCACAGGAATAAGTTACATTTGAAACAAGAATAGTTGAAATGGAAAATGTAAATGGCCATTTAGTGTCACTTTATTAATATACAAGGCATTTGATCACTAAAATAATGCAGTTTTACACTATTATGCCAAGGTAATCATCTAATAACAAGCAGGACCAGCACAACCTCTAGCTGGATTCGATTGGTTTGGTGCTTTCCACGTTCATTGTGTAATGAGTTTCTCTTAATGAATCAAAGAGGTAAAAGTTATTGTTAAACAATGGAACAATCAATTCAGGAACTTTTAAGGGCATATATTGTCACAAACAGGCAAGAGACAAGAGGAGTTCAGGTAAACAGAGGGGTTTATTGTCAATGCTGTGATGGTCAGGATCGAAGGCAGGTGAGTAAGAGAGATATGAGAGAGTTTTGGGTATCTTAGCTTCTTGGTAATCTGGGTTCTGATAGTAGTAGGAATCCTGGAGATGAACCGGGGCTGAGGAGAATCGGCATAGCGGAGACTGAATTGACTTCTGGAGGTAAGGAAACAACAGTTAGTAAAGCATGTAAGGAGTCTGGCAAAGTTCAGGTAGTGAACGGTAGACTGGACACTGGAATGCTGAGTGGAGTGAGAAGATATAGCGGGCTTAATTGGTGATGCAGGTGCAGGTGATCAGAATTCGGGTGATTGGGATCTGGTGTGTGTCGGAGGAGGTGACACTGCTGACGTGAGTGATTGCGATGATTTCCTGACATATATACAGTATATACATCTGTACAGCCTAGAGTTCAGAAATACAGTGTGGGAAATGCAATTTTAATGTCCAGCAAATGTGCTACACTACAAAATATTTACAGTGCTCTGCAAAGCAAAAACATTGTGTTGCTGAGTTTGATTCAATAGAACAGGGGCACATGAGGAACAAGAATAGAAGAGAGTCAGATAGGGTGGGACAGAGAAAGAGAGAGAGGGAACAATAGAGAGCAAGGCAACAGAAAGTCACTCCATTTCCATCTGAAAGGAATTCCCCAGCTTGGGCTGCTGAGAATTGAAGGCAGAAATCATTTTCACTTCAGCGGCCGTCTCACGTTCTCAAGGAAGGTGGAGGTGGCATTGAAATTTCTGCTTATGAAGGAAAGCAGCAGTACAAAACAAGACACAAATTCATAGAAATGACCTATTAATGATCAGTCCACAAGATAAGATTTAAGGTGATGCTCTGCAATATTATCTGCTAAAACTGATATAGGCCTACAGCTTCTCTTGAATGAATATCCAATACATATTCAATACGTTAAGTTCAATCGACATCATTTGTGGCAAATTGCTGATTACAACAAACTATATATTTTGACAAGCAAAAAAAATCAACGTTACTGTGAGGCACTTACAATGGAAGTAATTGTGAAGCTTATAATTTTATAAAAGTACTTACATTAATCCTTTTGCTAAAACTGTATCGTTTGAGCTGAAAAGATGGGCTCATCATTTTTTTTAGGTGATTTTAAGCTTTTAGGCATTAAGCCATGGTGACAAAATAGCAAAACTGGATAAAACTGCATACAGAAAAGGTTAGTAAGTGTGCTTTTTTCTGCTTAAATCCTGTTAACACGCATTGTTTATATCTTGTGTCTAAAAAGACAGTATTTTAATGTTCACAGATTGGCCCCTAACATTATGCCAAAAGTGATGTTGATTTAGCTTAGGGCTGAAATATCACCTTTTCCACTTTTCCCCTCTTTTTTATATTCCATGTTAACATATACATTCAGCTTAATCACCTGATTCTATAGTGTCCCAAAGTTATAGTTCAACCTCATCTCACTAAGCACAAACAATTAAATTACTGTATAATGACCTAAAAACATAAAACATTAGAAGAGGTGGGTGTGGGATGTGACCCAGATTTCTCCTCACAACAAAAAGTCTGTTGGGTGTAGCTGCTGTTTCACACTTATCAAACATCCATTTGTGGTTTCTGTTACATTGGTACAAAGTCAAGACATACGAGAAGGAAGCTTTTCAAAAGCCTTTTATGCCTGAAGCATGTACGTAAGCTAATATTTCATATATGCAGCTTTCTGAATAAAGAATAAAGTCATGTATCATGGATGGTTTCTTCATTGCTCTGTTTTCCTGAGGGCCGTGTGGATCTCCAGCGGTTCAGTAGTGCTCATGGGTTGCAGTGGTCTGCTGATGTTTGTTTATTCTGAGTCTGACAGGTGCCCTTTGTCATTAGATTAAAGACCTAATTCATTTGTATCTTCGTGACTGCTGGTGCAATGTGATTTAGATTGTTTACACACTTTGCTTCTCATAGATCAATTATGCTGTATTTTGTGGTGTGGGGGCGGGAAGGAGTGTTCCAGAAGCCTCTCTCTGTGCTGCCAACAGTGAGCAGGAGAGCAACATGTTACTCAAGCCAAGTCAATTGAGGTGTCCTTGCTAAGCAAAAGTATTAATTTGAATTATTCTTAAAAAAATATATTACTGACCCCAAATGCTTGAAATGTAGTAACAGCTTAAATGTTACACAACATATGTAATTTAAAGGCATTGTGCAGAGTAAGTGCAGAGTTTACTCAAGTTTTTTCACTTCAGCTAATCTGATAAATGTGTCTCTTACGCTATTGGATGATAAATAAGCACTGTACAACCTCTACACAGAATCAGACACAACCGCCACCAAACAAAGTCTGCATGTGCAGCCAAGCATGCTGGGAAAAGAGGGTGACCTGACCCTAAATCCAATGGGAGACTCCCATCCGCAGTGCTTGAGAAGGTAATGGACAAAATAACTGGTTTGAAATCTGTTGTTCTTTTAAGATTGTTAATGCTTGTTCAGACTTTTTGATACTGCTTTCTGCAGCTCTACTGACACTGTACTGACATTCGGTTAAAACCATGATAAAACATGTCATTTAGAGACTGTTTGAGTGTTTTTGCACATACTTGCTTTTATAATGCTTTTATAATGCTAAATGCCAATAACGCTTCTTGATACTTGAATTATGGTGATACAGGCCTGATGGTTGTGGCTCTCTTTCTGTACTTCTCTCTCCCGTGAGAGGGAGGATACAGGCATTGATTTGCAGGCATTTACTGAAGGTTTCTTCTGTCTGGTGCGCTATTCCCTCAAGGATCCTGGAGATTTCCACCCACAAACCCCTGTCCCCGGCACAGACACTCACCCATTATGTGTCTCTGTCCCCATCCCCCTCTCTAGGGAAATGTAAACAGCTTTCCCCTCCTCCGTAGATTTCTCACTCACATCTCACACTTTTCTTTCTTTCAGGCATCTCCAGTCTGAGCACAATTTACACATATAGGGGCAGAAGTTTGCGTTTGATTGACAGCTAAGATGGGCTGCTTAATATGCATTTTTATACACATACTAACCTGTGTGTGTGTGTGTGTATGTAATCAACCTTCAAAACAATAAGATCCAACAGAAGCTGCAGCTGAAAAAACAGACCATCAGCATGTTCCACATGTGGAGGAATAGCGATGTGAGAGTGTGTGGCAGCTTGTAGTACTGCAATGTGGAAACATTAAAATGTTTGTTGCAATATTTTTAAGCTTTTCCTTCTGACTCAGCAGTTGCTTATTTTTGTCACCATTTCAGCCTTTGCTAGAGGAAAGTCCTATACAGTTTAATCGTGTGACCAAGACAGAATCTATTCAAAATACATCTTGGCTGAAACAGCTTCCGACAGAAGGTTGCGAGAGATCTGTTAACATAGTTTTTGCTGACCTCAAAAGTGCTGACCTGTTTCAGTCTTTATGAAGGTGTGTTTAATCTTAACTGACTTGAATGTATACATTGCATTTAAATTATTATAAATTTCTGAGTCAGTATTCCTCACGTCCACATTATAGATTCTGCTAAATATGTCATATACTGGATACTGTTAATTCACTATGAACATATAACATGGTACTGAACTTTAACTGAGAAAGTTAGATGTTAGGAATGTTAGGTTAGTCTTTATTAGACAAGACGAATGTAAAGAGTGCCTTGATGACCTCATTATGGCATCATCTTCTGCTGTCCATTTGGAGGTACTCAGGGAATTGGCTTCTGTCTCCACAAAAGCCCCATGCGAAACCTGATCTTCATCAAAGTTTCATGTATAGTGAGGCTCTTATCATCTCGCCTATCAAATCAAGACAAATGACTCTTACCAACTACCCCCTCTAATCAGGGATAAATGATCTTAACAGATATTTTTCACAGTTTGTAACAAAAAGGCATCATTAAACTTGTATGTTTATTTAATGTGACTTTGGTTTGATAAATAAAGACCACATTCAAAAAAAAAAAAAAAAAAAAAAAAAAACACACACATAACATTAGCCTATATAATTATTTCCTGGAAATTTAAAATGTAGTCAAATTCCAAATTTCAGGTAAGACCACAGCCTATTGCTATAATTGGGGCTGAACGTGATCAGACAGGTTTTTTAAATGGGGGTTTTGAATAGACTGACCATCTCTTTCCTCTTGGGATGAAACCCTAGAGTTATATGGGATAGAAAGACACCATTGTCAGCATGGCTGGAAAGGGGTCTTATTCAATTAAGCTAATACAACAAAGGCATGGCTATCCAAACACACACCTTTTGCACAAAAATTTGTAAATTAAATATATATGTTTTTGTAGTTAACCACAAAATGAATGTATATAAAATTGCAGGAGTTTGTTCAATTCAAGTATGCTGAAGGTAAAACACCCAAGCTAGTTCAAATGAAAAGTGATCAGTCTGTTTCTTTATGGCTTCTTTCAATGTTTAGAGAAAGCTTGGTAGACTCAAAATTACCTCCCCCTTAACAGAGCCTGAAAAAGCCCAGATTAGTTCATACTTGTGAAATTTCCCAATGATCCTATAACACATACACGTACAGAAGTCAACGCTATCACAATTTCTTCTGAAAAAGATAAATATGAGGTGAGAGATTCATCCATGAAACAGCTGCACTCACCTTAAATACCTTTAACCCTCATATCATCCTGATACAGAACATGAGATAAGGTGTTTGCTTTAACACACATTTTAATTGAAAAATACTTCAGGATTCATCTTGACTTTGTAATACACGGACAGTCTAATATCTGATCTACAGTGTTGTACACTACTATCTTGGTAAGAAAAAAAGTGCTTAGAGGTGAACCGTGTCACAGGCAATGCCCAGTCCATCATTTGTGTTCTTCAGAGTTCCTGTAAATCTAGACGTCTTCACGAGACCTCATACTCACTCAGGCCCAGTGAAGTTACAGTAATTTTGTGAATTACAAAGTCCTCAAACCCCAATTTCATTCTGGGATTTTGAAGCTACAGTTCTCGATAATGTTCTCAGAAGTTCACTCTATGTTCCATAAGAGTCAAAATAAGATATCAAGCATTCCATGAAATGTTACAGCGTTTTTCACAGTGCTTCAGTAGAGAACTCCTTCAAACTGATGACCAGGCTATGCAAATGAATGGCAGCTTAATCGGGACCAGCCCTTGTAACAAATTATTTCCTTTTTTTTTTGTTTTACATTTTTGGTTCATCTGCGCCACCAAGATCATATGCAACATAAATCCAGCTCAACAACAAACAACCATTCAGATGAATGTCAACAGTGCAACGTTGAAATGGCAAACCCAGTGACTCAGGCCATCAGCAATGGAAACGTCAGGTGCAGGCTTTGTAGAGAGTTATCGCTTTTTCTTCTGTTTGAGGCTTTTTCGTCGTTTGACTATCATTTCGTACAGTTTGTCCATGCCTTCGTGAAGCCCCTCGCCTATGATGGCACAGGCCGGTTGGATGTGGTACGTAGTGGCAGGCGTGAGCTCCTGGAGCGCCAGCTGCTTCTCTATATCCGCAACAGACAGAGATCTCGGCAGGTCCTGTTTATTAGCTATTACTAACAGCGGCGATCCTTGGTTTTCAGCGAATTTGGTCACTTTATGCAGCTCCGTCTTGGCCTCCTCCAGTCGATCCACGTCTACAGAGTCCACCACATAAATGATGCCATCCGTGCACCTACTGTAAGATTTCCACAAGGGCCGGAGTTTCTCCTGCCCACCAACGTCCCAGAAATGACAGCTTATTCCTTTGGCCGTGCCGTTACTCAGCTTGAATTTTTCCGTGTTGAATCCTATTGTAGGCACAGTGTTGACAAACTCGTTGAATTTCAGTCTGTAAAGGACCGTGGTTTTCCCTGCGGAGTCCAAGCCAAGCATCACTATATGGAGGGACTGAAACGCAGATATGTTGGAGAAACTGTTCCCCATTTTGATCTCCTCGTTAGTAGGGGTAAAACCAATGCAGACCCCGTCGGCACCAGCGATTCGACCAAATTCAGACTGGATGTGATGAAGCGATCATTGCAGTGCGCGTGAGATCTGCTCTGTAAACACTCCTCTATGAGCGGAGAGTCTCCGCAGTAACGGCTCACATCACCATTCCCACCACAACCTGCTGAAAATTCCTTCTGACGGCTCGGCGTTCAGTCTCTCCCGGCGCTCGTCCACATCAGATATGAATGAATGTGATCAGAAATCTCCTCTAGGCATGAGCGCGCTTACTCACGTGGTGATGGACACAAGCGAGTGTATGGTAGTGAATGGAAGCCAGCGGTGACCCTGCAGCAGCTGCTCCTCACACTGGAGAAACTCCGCCCGCATTTCATGTGAAAACTGAAAAACAAACCCCTCTTATGGCAAGCCAAGTATTCCTTAAACTAGCTAGTATACATTTTTGTTACCAGTACTTATTTTTTGAAAAGTTGTAAGTAGTCCTGGCTATCTTTTTATTTTTAAATAATAAGGCCAATTATTACTTAATAATTAGATATTTGTTTTGTGTGTCCACCTTAAAAACCTTCACCATATAGTGAAACAAATATATTATCATATACTAAAATACTTATTGTTACTACTGCAAAGCTATATGGGATTTCCTTCAAAGAGTTTTAATTTTTTTTGTATTTTTAAAATGAACATTTTAATGACAGTGATTATTAAACAAAGTCAATTATAGTATTTATCAAAATAACCAAAAATACAAACAATATTAAGTATTAAAGTACTACTTTAGCGAAGGTATTTTTTTTAATCAATACTGCCTTTAGCCCCATGCTGGTTAGCCTTTTACCCTGAATATGGAGCAAAAAGGCAACCTGGCCACCTCATTCATTTATAAGATTTTGAAACAAACAAACAAGCAAACAAACAAACAAACAAACAAACAAACAAACAAACAAACAAACAAACAAACAAACAAACAAACAAACAAACAAACAAACAAACAAACAAACAAACAAACAAACAAACAAACAAACAAACAAACAAACAAACAAACAAACAAACAAACAAACAAAAAAAACTTTTATAGTTTATTTTCCCACAAAAATGTGTTGTTCCATCAATGTTCAATGAAACATATATATTTTCTACAATCATATACTATGGGAGTAGTGAAAAGAATGTGCTCCTTAAATATGTGTTCCCATTGTACCCTTGCTGACAAGTGTAGTTGATCAACCATTCAGCATTAAACATTGTATCAACGTTGCTTCAACGTTGAAACAACAACTGACATTTCAACCGTATTTCAACATTGAAGGTCGGTCATATGCCGGCTGGGGATAGTTTTGAAATAATTTCTAGTGGGCTATGCCTATAGTGATATTGAAAATTATGCTGAAGTAATAAAAATAAGTTCTAGTAACTTAGCTTTAATAAAATAAGCTCTAGTAAAATAGTAGTATAGTTTAACGGATTAAATGTAAAATTGGCTTTCCACACAACTCCCCTCAGCAGTCTGTGCACAGGTTACAGTGTTCTCCAATTTTCGTGGAAGATGGGAGGCATTCGTTCAGAAACTAGGGTGCGTCAACGAGATTGTACCTATTTGTCCTGTAACACGTTAGGAAAAAATGCCAATTTTAGACACGCATTTTCACACCTCCCTGAAATAATTTAAATAAGATGCTAATATTTCCACACCTAATCTGAAATCCTTAAAAAAAGCCTATTAACTGCGTAGGCCTAGGCAGTTTGGTAAATCGTCTGGATAAATCTTTTCTCAAACATTATATTTCTCATTTAATTTCAGTCGTCTCTGACTTACTTTGTGGCTATTATATATATATATCGCCACCTGGCGTCCATAGTACTCAATTTCGTTCTATATCCCGTTTCAGGAAAAGTCATTTTAAGTACTTTATGTCAGAGGTGGGACCACGTCATTGTTTTGCAAGTCACAAGTAAGTCTCGAGTCTTTGCATTCAAGTCTCGAGTCAAGTCCCGAGTCAAGACAGACAAGTCCCAAGTCAAGTCCCGAGTCAAGACAGGCAAGTCCAAGTCGAGTTGCAAGTCCTCAGCTGTAAGATTCAAGTCTTAAACAAGTCATTAATGCTTTTTGCCCAAATTAGTGTCTCAGTATTAATTACCATATCAAATTCATAGTAATTTATATCAGGAAAGCAGGTAGAATATGTTTGACATAGTTCAATTTCATGTGCGATGGGTGCCCTTAGTAAAACTACTCAAGTTCACGTTAGGGATTGTGCCAAAATAGGATAAACAGTGAAAAAAACTATTTTATTAGTAACAGAATAGCAAAGACAACATAATTTCATAGAAATAACAGCTGCAACATACTTTGCATGAATAACACTTTAATAACACAGTAATAACACAGATATAACAAAGGAATAACACAGTAATAACACAGACAGTAATAACTCAGGAGTAACACAGTAATACCACAGAAAAAAAACCAAAGGAATAACACAGAAATAATTCAGTAATAACACAGGAAAAACACATTACTAACACAGGAATAACTCAGTAATAACACAGAACTCACACAGGAATAACACAGTGACAACAGAAATAACACAGCAATAACAAAGTAATAACACAGGATTAAATCAGTAATAACACATTAATAACGCAGTAATAACACAGAAATGACACAGGAATAACAGAAATAGCTCAGGAATAACACAGTAATAACACAGAACTCACACAGGACTAACACAGTAATAACACAGTAATAACACAGAAATAACAGGAATAACGCAGTAATAGCAGTTAACTCAGTAATAACACAGTAATAACACAGTAATAAGACAGGAATAACACAGTAATAACACAGTAATAACACAGGAATAAATCAGTAATAACAGAGGAATAATACAGATTAACACAGTAATACCACAGTAATGACACAGTAATAATTCAGTAATAACGCATTAATAACACAGGAATAATACAGGATTAACAAAGTAATAAATCAGGATTAACGCAGTAATAACACAGGAATAACTCAGTAATAGCAGGAATAACACAGGAAAAACATAGTAACACAGGAATAATTCAGTAATAAAGCAGGAATAACACAGTAATAACGCAGTAATAACACAGCAATAACACAGCAATAACACAGGAATAACTCTGTGACAACAGAAATAACACAGGAATAACACAGTAATAACACAGTAATAACAGAAATAACTCAGGATAACACATTAATAACACAGTAATAACACAGAACTAACACAGGAACAACTCAGTGACAGCGTAATAACACAGATATAACAAAGGAATAACACAGTAATAACACAGGATTAACTCAGTAATAACACATTAATAACACAGTAATAACACAGAAATCACACAGGAATAACACAGTGACAACAGAAATAACACAGGAATAACATGGTAATAACGCAGTAATAACACAGGAATAACACATTACTAACACAGTAATAACACAGGAATAACACAGGAATAACACAGTAATAACAAAGAAATAACACAGGACTATCACAGAAATCACACAGGAATAACACAGTAATAACAGAAATAACTCAGGAATAACACAGGATTAACACAGTAATAACACAGAAATCACACAGTAATAACAGAAATAACGCAGGATTAACAGGAATAACACAGTAGTAACAGAAATAACACAGGAAATGAATATGGCTGAGATCGCGAATATGAGGCAGATGCTGGATGTACTCTGGAAGTGCGCTCTGACGATGACAGAGATGGTAAAATCATCTGCTCAAATTGAACCTTTTAAGTTTCAAAAGGTAACGGAATATGCTTCATTTTATTCTTCTGTTATTGTTCTTAAAATATCAAGAGAGTTTTTTGCTATTGCAGCAGTTAAAGAAGGATCCATTCGTGCTGTATATATAGGTCCGGGATGCTAAAGACCCGAATATAAAATTTGTTATTTTTATTATCTCTGTTCTGTTTTGTCGTAAGTTATGCTATTACTCCAGTAATTTATACTAGCCTATCCAGCGCTCCCTGAACGCAGTCTCTGGCTTATTGCCAGTCAAGCGCAATGCTGCAGGGACGCGCCTAACGACTTTGATCTGATCATAAAGTCTTTCCGAGTCACAGGGCTCAAGTCCAAGTCAAGTCTCGAGTCATTGCTGTCAAAGTCTAAGTCGAGTCTCAAGTCTTCTTTAATTATTTCGAGTCGAGTCGCAAGACATCAAATTTGGGGCTCGAGTCCGAGTCAAGTCTCGAGTCAAGTGACTCGAGTCCACACCCCTGCTTTAGGTGAGCTTTTTTTGACAAATAAATACGCCCAAGTATTGAAAACCAATGATCAGTGCTGTTACTATTAAGAAAAGGAATACTGAGGTAAACTATCATAGACTGAAAAGTTACAAGAATTTACTCAGCTATAATCAAAAACTCACGGACGTCTTATCATGACACTCGTTAATGTGAGGTTTATAGATATTATACAATAACCATTTGCTAAGTTTGACAAAAAATATGTTATATTGGGATGTTTAGAGGGACTGTCTTTACACTGAGTAAAACTTAGTCCTTTATATGAACTGTTTGTCCACTAGGTGGTAGATGTGTGATGGAAATGTTAGAGGAGAAATTACTGGGAATGATTATTGGCCTTATTTAGTTTCCCATTTATCTTTCTAGGCAGTAAAAAGGACTCTGAATGTAACATTCAGTCATCGACTGCTCTAATTAAAATCTTACAATTTATAGACTATTTCAGAACACTATTCTTTTTTAGCATTAGCATGGAGAGAAAGAAAAATGAAGCAATATACTGAGGCAAGCCATTTGTCTTTGTCTTTTTCAAAAGGTCACTCACTGACCCGAGAAAGAACACAGTTTATTTATGGCGTATCACAGCAAACATAGGCACATTGATAAAAACACACTTGCTTGACTGTATCTTTGGAACACCAGTTAAAACTGTATAAAATCTTCATAGTTGACTGCACATGTTCATTATATTGTACACACACACTTGCATCTTTCAGATTTTTGTCAGTAGTCGAGGGATCCCCTCAGAGAGTGAGAGAGGGCACTGATGAAAGGCTTGTGATGTGAAATATGCCGTCTGCATGCCTGTGTCTAGAGTAGGGTAAGATGTAAGCATATTTTTGTAAGACCCACAGTGATGACTGTTTACATTGGTCATAATTTTTGTTGGGAGAGCCTGTCAAGCAGTGAGAAAAATTATGCTGGAGTGATAAGACTGGAATTCGCACATAGCAAGTAGGTTTGTAAAACTCTCAGTGGGCACAGCAAGAAAACAAACTTAACTTACAATAATGTTGTATTGCACTTTGAGTGTGACCAGATTAATATATTATATTGGAGTCAGTTTTGTCACACAAATTCATCCTATCAACGTATCAATGACATCTACACTCAGTGTAACATTAAACTAATGTTAAATTAACTCTTACAAATGCAAATTGGATACAGAGACATGCAGGCTAGAAAAACAACAGCACAGCTGTTAGCTTTATGACAACATTTTTAGTTTCCACAATGTATAGTTTTAACATTTAGTTTCCACATAATACTTAAATATATGATTTATTACATTTAAATTTTTAATTCAAAGTTAAAATGTATAAATTCAATAATTTATTTATTTTAACTTTGAATGAACAAAGTGTCCAACTGATACATTTGCATTAGATTTACATGGGCCATCACTTGCAACAACTAATTAAATGTTATGATTATAATGTGAATTTTTTTGGTGATAAAACAAAACAAGAAGAAGAACAAACTAACAAACAAATAATAATAAATAATAAAACGACTTGTTATACACCACGTATGTGCTGTTTGGAATTATCATCACAATCAAATGGACTTTAATTTTTTTACTTTGATCTTTAGTTACTAAAGTTCTGGAATGAAATCTTCGTATATTTGGCTCAAATTAAGGCCACTGGGACATCAGCGTCCCAATGGTGAGTAAATCTTTTAATTTCTGTAAGCTGAAGATGAGATGCTTTAGTTATAAGCCTACTCGTGCTGATGGAAGTATTTGAGTTTTATGTTTTATGTACAGGTGAACTAAAGTGATATCATTATACATTCCTTAATAATAATTCTGGTGTGTCTCTTTATTAAGACAATAAGGTTTTATTTTTCCATTTTACTTTTCATTCTAACATTTACTTTCACTTATAAAAACATTAGGCTACTTAAATCTGAACAACATAAACAACAGACACTTAGAGCAAAGTAAAACAGGCAGTTTAGCATACAGTGTAATTGGCATCACAAAACAAAACTTAAAACAAAAGAGAAAGGTTGTTACATTATTAGTGAAAAAACGTGTATCTTTTGTACAAAATGTACAAGTATAAAATCATGATGATATGCAATGAATAAAAAAACCTGAACAATCATATCTTATTTTACATTAGAGTTTTACATGAGATGGAGACCTCTGCTTGTATTAAAACATCAGCAATACACTTTTCAGTAATTTACTATGCAACACCACGGCTAACAAATCTATTGTTCAAACATATAAGCGCTTTAAATCAGGTGAAATCAGGTGTATCTGGGTCTTGTAAAAGTCAGGTGATGTAGGCAGTCTTTATATGGCACAGTCATCTTGAGAGCAGGGGCTGAAAGCAGTGCTCCGTAGGAGATCCAGACAGTTGACAAGCATGAGGGAGCCTGTGATGTGCCTCCAGCGCTTGGTGATGGGGTTCTTCATTTTGTCCAATCCAGTGTGAAGTTCCAGAATCACATCCCTGTAACTGTCCCCGATCTGGGCTGCCCATGTGACCAGGAAGTCAAAGGCAGGTTTCCACATGGCCTTTACAAAATAAAAAAAGTAAAGATTAATTTGAGTGTGACATGTAAACCTGCATGAATATGACATTTAGGTGCCCTGAATTTTGTTCCCTAAAAAGACTTTATACACAATCTGTATGCTCTCCTTCAGAGTGAATGTGTACAAATATCATAACCCAGTAAGTGCAAGAGGAAGCTCATAATCTCATCAATTATTGGTAGAACATTTAGGTTCCTCTTCTGAGCTGGACACAAACACTATAGACATGACTTGTGGGTTTCCTGTAATTGGAGCTCAAAACCCAGTTTTAAATTTGACAAGTGTCAGTTACTGTCTCTCGCACCCATCTCACTTGGATATTGCTCTTTATCCATTTTTATAATTTAGAGGATTGAACATTCTATATCTATATAGTCTATATTTTGCTTAACTTAATGTTTACCTACTCTGTGTTTTGTTTGCACAGTTGTCTGTACTGTCACTGCTCTACAATCTAAGCCAGGTCATAAGCATTTCAGTGTGCACTAAACGCTGTGTAAACATGTGTAAACAGACGTGACACTTCTTTTTCATCCCGATCTCATGAGAAAACATTAGTATTTTACAAGTTGGCATAAGTATTTTCATGTGAATTTGAATATGTGATTTGTACAGAGACGTGAAGAAAAAAAAAACTGAAGGTCCACCCCTGATGAGGGTGAGTAAATGATGACAAAAAATTCAGGTTTTCGGTGAACTATTTCCTTAATAGTTTAATAATGCTTAATAATGCTTTCAGTGTTTGTTTTACCTCACTATCCAGTTGTCCCCTGCTGTCTCTGTGTGGAGCTTCATATGCTTCCATCTGCTGCCGGGACACTTTAGCGAGTCTCTCAGCAAGCTCCCTCCAGCGACCCGCCACCTCCACCGCTGTAGTCAACAGCACAAAGTCCATGACCAGCCGTGCCACCAGGCCCTGACAGTCCATCTTCAGAAGAGCCTGAATGACAGATATACAGTTACACCACAAGTTTATGATCACCAAGCCACTATGCAAAGATTATAACTCTGCTTTATGTCACTGTGCTTATAGTCAAAAATTGAATAATGCTACATGTTTGAATCCCCACATGCCAGTTTTGCAATGTAAAAAAATTATAGATAATGATTACTAATAATTCCTACTTAGAAGTATGACTTCAGGGAGAGGTCTAACCATGTGTAATACTGGTTATAGTTTGGGATGCACAAAATATGGGATTTTTTTATTGCTATTGGTAGATATTGGCTTATTATGGATATTTAATTGTGCATTATTTTTATTTTTTACTTTCAGGATCATCTAGCACTCGCTTAAATGTATGATTTAATAACACGGTTAAAGGGATACTTCACCCAAAAATGAAAATCTTTCATTTACTCACCCTGATGTTTTTTCCAAACCTGTACTTTCTTAAAAGAAGATATTTTGAAGATGGTTTCAGCTTTTTTATCGATACAATGAAAATCACTGGGGTTCAAAACCACATCTGGATCTCTCTGGATCTTCTTTTGAATTCCACATAAAAAGAAATTCATACAGAGTTGGAATGACATGAGGGTGAGTAAATGTTAACATAATTTTTATTTTTGGGTGAAATATAAAATGTCTAAAATCTTAATTTTACAAAAGAATATACATTTTTTTATAGTGCTGGGCGGTTTGACCAAAAATCTGTATCACGAGTTTGCTTTGGTTTCCCTGACTGTGCCTTTATATGAATCAGAATGCATGAAACAGATTTAGAACCACTGCATTTTAATCACTATCCAAACAAAGATGCTACATGTAGCATTAGCAGATTTGATTTAAATTAGATTGTATAATTTCACAATTTAAAGCAAAAACAGACTCGTCTGACCTTAGCTTTGTGAAATGATGCTATATAAAACATAACTACACAAAACAAAAACAGCAGACAGGCTGCACGAGAACGCAAATTTACTCTGACAGCAGGTGGTGCTTATGGAACAGCAGCGATTCAGCGTTTCCTTGATTGTAAACAAAGCAGCACTGCGCTAATAAATACTACTTTATTATGCATTATAGGGAGGCAAGATGAAAAGAAACACCATCTAAACTTTTCTAAAGACAGTCAGTTCCCCTCAGGGATACACTCATATAAACCCCACACCCAACTGAGTATTTAGGATTTTCATTCAATATTTCGTGCATTGTGAACTACTTGAGCTTGCTCTGTATGGTACAGGATGGCTGTCGCGAAACTGATGTTTCGACGCAGTGACGAGATCCTGAAGCGTAGAAGTTTTGAAACACTAGGCTTGTTTGAGATGCGCCTCGCCTCGCCTGAAATGAAGGCGAGAGTAGGCGGCTGCAGTAAGGGGAGGAGTGAAATAAGCGCAGTCAAGACGGACAGTTCTGACCTCTCGAAATGAACAGATACCAACGAGATCAAAGGCGGATATCACGTTATTCTCACTCATGTGCTGTGCTGCTGATTAACATGATATAATTTCAGTTCTGTTGCTTTATATGAAAATAAATATGATGAACAAGACACTCAAAGTGTTTGCTATTTAATTCCATACGAAAGGAGTATTTATCATCCATTTGTACTTTAATACAAACCTGTATTTTAGATTTTTATAGAAATATGACAACAATCACATATCTCACACCGAGATCGCACTGTTATAGTGTTTAGGAATATTCATGCATAATTTAAACACATAATCACATGAAATCAGATAAAAAATAAAACATTTTAGAAGAGAACGTAACATCATGGTTGTCTGAACCAATAAGCATTAAGCTGTGTCGTCAGCCAGTCGTTTCCCATCATGCTTTTGATCAGCGCAGTCGGTGGAGAGCAACTGCGCTCACAATCCGACACAGCCGCCTCGCCGTCGCGAGAGTTTTTTGGTACACGTCAGCATGACATCAGAGCAAGTCTATGGCGGCAAAATAAAAATCTCAAAATGTAACAAATGTGACACATTTGTGGCTTGATTTATTTTATTAATGTTTACTTTTTATGACCAAAATAACCTATAATTATTCACAATGAGGAGTTTAAATGTTACAAAACCAAGCTCATATAGTTGTAAGACACATGTTAAAAACTCAACATATTATAAAAAATTAAAAAAATCAAATAAAAAATACAACAATAAAAAATAAAAAAATTGCTCTTACAATGATATGGACTTTATTGTTTGACATAAACAACATGTAGGCCTAGGTTATCATTCGTAAATCGTTAAGGCAGAGCAACACGTGCAAGTGACCACTGTCGCAGTGGAGACGGGTATCTGATTGTTTCGAAGTCTCGACACAATACGGCACATTTGCTTTAACTGTTTCAGTGATTCATGAAGCCTCGCTCTGCCATCACTTGCGACCTCTGCCAGGTATGAGACGTAATCCTCATTATTCTTTTATCATTCGTTTGTTTGTATTCAGCTATTATTCTGGCATTACATGGTTTACCCATTCACATCGCTTTGATTTCCGTATTTACCCACCTAGTGGAATTTCGTCATCGGAAGAGGCAGGGCGGGTTATGAACGCGTAATTTTACTGACATATGAGCTAGTTATGGGGGAAAACTAACCTTTTTGAAGCTTCGACTGAACTGAACCAATTGTTTCGCAAAATGATTCACTGTTTCGAAGCGTTCGAAACACCACACGCTGGTGACGCCTGCTGGTCAAAACCAGGGGTGGACTTAGTGATTTGGGGGCCCTAAGCAAATTCCAGGTATGGGGCCCCAACACAATAACTATGTGCTCTTTTACGCCTAACCCTTATTTTGCTCGCTCGCTCTCATAGTTTATAGTTTATTTATCTCTTCACAACCAGTAATAAGTGAACCCGATGCTGTTATAAAGCCCTATTAGGCTATCTCATTTGTTTTTTCAGATCACAAAAGAAAAAAAATGCCAGCACTTGTCCATTTAATAAATTGTAAGCTTCTTCATTCTTTTTACTAACATAAAATTATCCCATTCAACTCATTTCATATTCCAAGTGTTCTGAAGGCATACGGTAGGGTTTGCCGAGAGACAAATCGAAAATGTAATCTAAGTTTGCCTATTATTAAGCGAAAATCTCCAGTCATTGCATTCGTGGATTTATACGAGTGCGCGGCAGTTCGCGCCGGCACGCCTAGGAAAAGCACACGAGTAATCTTGAAACAATAAGACAAATGAAATTATGACTTGAAACACAATACTTTCTTTACTGAGGTGAATATCTCTGTTCTGAGACAGTCAGACAGTATTATACAGCCTAGAATGCGCAAAAATAGCGCTCCCTCATATAATTAATCACTAAAAGCTGTCACTCACTTCAGTTCATTGCGATCTCACGACGTTCCGTTAATAAGCTCTCTGCACAATAAATCTCTTATTTACATCGTATCTACACTTTATTATAATGAGAGGATTCCCGAGCTTGCAGAACTCAACACTTGACAAAAACTTGACATTTTGAGCAGTGAGTGGATTCTAATTTAAACACTTCTGGTCATTGCGTTCAAGAAATTAAACGATATGTTTGTGACTGGCCAGTGGCTACACTGCTCAACGCTGCAAATATGTTTCGCGAATAGGCCTATCAGATGGGGCCCCCTGATTCCCCCGGGGCCCTAAGCGGCCGCTTACCTGCTTATTGGTTAAGTCCGCCCCTGATCAAAACGGTGTAAATGCAACAAAAACTAATGTCAAAACATGCATAAAAACAGCGTTTACAAACCCAATGCAATTGTTTTTTTTTTTGTATAATATATTAAATGCAATTAAAAGTGTGGTGTTCTGTGAATGTGAAACAACAATAATCTGAGGCCGCCGGCGATCTTTGCAAGTTAAGTTAACAGCTAACTCTCAATTCACAATGCTGTCTACGTTGCTTAGGCACTTGTACCGGTAGCCGTTTAAAAAAAAAAATCATTCCGGATGCGAAATTCAAACCGGTTTACCGTTTGAACCGGTATATCTCTCAGCACTAATTTTTCATAATGTAAGTTATAATGTTATCATGCCTAAATTATCTTGTAACATTTAAAACTATTGGTTTTTAGTTTAAAGTGCTTTAGCCTAATTTAGAGAATTTGGAAGAATTTAAGAATTTAAATATTGACCATTTGTTGGCTAGTAATATCATTATCAGCTATAACATCAAAATAGTTTAGCAGTATATCAGCCTCAGCTATAATTTTAATACACGTGCATCCCTAGTTACAATGCATTTACACCAGACATGCTTCAAATGCCCAAAAAATATGACATTGAAACTGTATGCAAAAAGCCTTCAAATCAAATCTTCCGAAATCAATAGTTTGTATAGCAGTGTATATTGTTGATATCTGCCTTCATAATCTCATACTAAAAATACTGTTTTTTTTCCCTCAGTGGTTGCTAAGTAAAGCCTGTTCTACTTAGTAAACTTAAACAAGAATACACAACAACACAAACTACAAAACTGAGATAGTGTCAGTGGTTTTCTAAGCACCGCCTCAGAAAATGTATACGAGAGCTCAAGTCATCAAGCCGGGCGCTTTGATAAATGTGGCGATATGCAGGAAGCGACGTGCATGCTCCTGTGAGCACAATATAATGAGAGTGACTCCGGGCCCCTTGGACAAGGGAAATGTTAGGGAGGAATATCCGGCCATTCTGTTGGCAAGAGTTCTGTCTTATTAATGTGACCTTCTTTTCTCCGCTGAGAGTTTGGCGTGACATTAAAAAAACTGAATAAGGATTTACGTTCACTGCGCCTTGTGAATATATGATGTTCACAGATCTACAAAATGTCTGAAACTGTTATGTGATGATGCTAACATGTGACATTTACACTTGCTTGCTCTATACAAGAAAGAAAGGAATCAATCTTTCTACACATGCCATTTAATTTTCAAATATAAATTAATCAAAAATGCAGGTGTTCTTCATATGCTCAAATATGTTCAAGTGCACAGACACACAACATCAGCAAGTGTT